GAGAGAGAGAGAGAGAGAGAGAGAGAGAGAGAGAGAGAGAGAGAGAGAGAGAGAGAGAAGTAATTATATGCGCAACGTCACTTTAAAATAAAAAGTAATATGCCACTCACTGATACGAGTCGCAACAGCAAAATTGTACATCGCTAACTATATATGTTAAACTGTAACAATACAAAAATGTATACGATTATAGACTAATTATGCAAAATCGAAACTATTGTATTAAATACACTTTATATTTTATATTTAAATAAATGTGTATTTATTAAAACAATTATATAAAATACTACAAGTCTTCCTTTTAAATATGAACTCACAAAATTTTATACGTATGGTTTTGTCTCTAACACTTATTCGAATGCTCGTTGGAATCATTTGAATAAATAAAATAAAAGCACAGAACAGATGATTCATTTTGCACAAGTAGCAAATAACAAAAATGTAAGACACTTACCTTACCGATTTCTCTGCCGTTGCCCGATGCCGCCTGGGCCTGCTTCTCCTCTCAGATTTTCTTGTTGCACTTACACTCACAACACTTACTCGCGAAAATCGATCGCGCGAAATTTCGGACACTCCCGTACGCGATGTAAAATACCGTGAAATGCAGTAAGCGACGTTCTTTACTTCTTGCCCGTTCGAATTGCGAAGAACGACAGAGCGAATTACGCCGTGAACGCCGAAGTCGCACAAATTTCTCTCCCCGAAAATGGAACAGATTACACAAAATCGATAGATAATTAAAAGCGCGGTACGTAAACGAGATGTAAACGCGACAAAGTATACCGCGGTTTACATTCATGTTTTAGATGAGTTGGTCTCGTGAAATATCTATATACACGTTGATAAAGAGCCGTCGCTTCAACATGCAATTCGTTTCTCATCACAAGTTTTAGAATCTTAATAATTAATCGAGTAACGTTACTTGTCACCGATAAAGGTGTACAAATCAATAGCGTTTTATCCCTACATTCTTCGCGATCGGGTCTTGGAAACCGGTAACGTAAAAATAATATCACGCACGGAACAACTCTCGCTGCTACCTGCCGGCTCGACCTTCGACGAGCGAGTGATAAGTACGGAATTTTCCATTACGTAGATGGGCCAACGAATTCTCAACGTTTTTTTGTTGTTTTTCACTCGGCGCGGAGACGTACGATGTTTTTGCGTACCATCATTGTACTTGAAGGTCGCCGCGCTCTCATTCGCTCGCCGAACGTCGAGCCGGCGAGCAGTGGCACGAGTCGCTCCGTGCGTGGTATTATTTTTGCGTTGTCGGTTTCCAAGACTCGATCGTGAAGAATGTAAGGATAAAACGCTATTGATTTGGACTCCTTTATCAGTGACAAGTAACGCTACTAGATTAATTATTAAGTTTCTACAACTTGTAATGAGAAACGAATTGCGCGTTGAGGCGATGGCTCTTTATTAACGTGTACATGGATATTTTACGAGACTAACTCACCTAAAATATGAAAGTAAACCGTGGTACGTTGTCGCGGTTACATCTCGTTTACGCACCGCGCTTTTAACTATCTGTCGATTTCGTGTAATCTGTTCCATTTTCGGGAAGAGAGAGAGAGATATTTGTGCGACTTCGGCGTTCGCGCTGTAATTCGCTCTGTCGTTCTTCGCAACTCGAACGGGCAGGAAGTAAAGAACGTCGCTTACTGCATTTCACGGTATTTTACATCGCGTACGGGAGTGTCCGAAATTTCGCGAGTGAGTGCTGTGAGTGTAAGTGCAACAAGAAAATCTGAGAGGAGGAGCAGGCCCAGGCGGCATCGGGCAACGGCAGAGAAATCGTAAGGTAAGTGTCTTACTTTTTTTTATTTGCTAATTGTGCAAAATAAAGCATCTGTTCTGTGCTTTTATTTTATTTATTCAAATAATTTGAACGTGGATTCGAATAAGTGTTAGAGACAAAACCATACGTATAAAATTTTGTGAGTTCATATTTAAAAGGAAGACTTTCAGTATTCTATATAATTATTTTAATAAATACCTATTTTCAAAAATATTAAATATAAAGTATATTCAATACAATAGTCTGGATTTTACATAATTAGTCTATAATAATCGTATACATTTTTGTATTGTTACAGTTTAACATGTATCGTTAGCGATGTACAACTTTGCTGTTGCAAACCAGTGAGTGACAAATTACTTTTCATTTTAAATTGACGTTGCGCATACAATTACTTCTTCGCGTGTATAGAAATTCTTAAAAATATACGATGCATGACCACAAACTGCGCGCGCAAAGCGCGCGTTTTATTGTTTCTATCTTTATTAAAAAGACAACGTTTCGACCGTGGACTCCGGTCCTTTTCAAGTGTAGGGCAATCGCATAACAATTCTAAAGTCGGCAGAATTTAATTTATGCAACACTTGGAATAACGTAAACACAGAGCTAAAAACTTGCGATTGATTTTTAATCTTCTCCATTCTTTTTAAATTTCCCACATTTAATCAAAAAAGAGATCAGTTTCTCACATCAAGATGCATAAAAGAGAGATAGTGACTGAACTGCATATGGGCTTTATTTCTCTCTGGAAATAAGCCTGGTGCGATACACCGTTGACATAAAAACGACATTTCATACGCAACGACTTAATAAAACGTAAATATATTGATATCTACCTGCTTGCATCGTCATCCTTGATGTGCTCGCCGACGGGAGCCTGGGTTTCCTCGGGCTGGCTCTCCTCTGTCTCGGCTGCAGGCGGGGCCTCACCTTCGGCAGCCCCGGCGCCGCGGCTTAACCCGGGTATACCGCCACTCAACCAGCCGGACATTTGATTCTTTACCCCGGCGAACATCTCCAATTTATTGCCTTTCGGACTGCAAGACAAAGAACCACACTGATAACAAAAATATTTTAATAAAAAAAAATTACTTTACTCAAGAAAATTATTCATTAGGTGGCACTTAATAGCTTCTTAATTTAAACTTACAAAATAATAAACAAATTAAAACATGCATTTCTTTAATTTAAGTATTTATTAAATATGAAACAGTAAATAATTTGAATTTAAAAAATTTTACTTTAATTCTATAAAATGTTTACTAAGATACAAGTTTTACAGCGAAGAAAATTGAATTTCTTATTTGACAGAAACAATGATTTCATTTAATAAATAGTATTCTCTATCTCGTGAAATCTTTAGTTGAATGTAGAAAATGTAATGATTTAAATTAATTTACTTAATATGATGCACAGATTTACTTGAAATTTGATATTTTTATTTTAATAAAATAAATATGTACTTCAGTAAAAAAATACTTTTAAGTAAATCTATTTACTTCGTTTAAAAAAAGTTTTTTGTCAGTGCACATATCTTGAATCTGCTTATTGTCGAGAAATATGCTCTCTAAGGAAGCTCTCTCCATTTCACAAACGTCGGTTAACTATTAACCCGAGTTCAGTCAAGTCCCAATCTTTTTCTATCTTTGTTGTCTAAGAAGAGACAGAGAATCAATTAACCTTCGGTTAGCTGTTAACCGACGTTTGTGGAACTGGTCCTAAAAGTCAATCGGTGCATTATAACTGCGAACCCGTGAATATTCACTGTTTTAAGTGATAATCCACTGATCGACTTTTAGAGGGTGCGTTTAAATGGAAATCCCGAATAATAAAAAAAAAGAGTTGTACGTCTTCGCTAAAACATGGATTCTGCGCGATGTGCTCGAAAGGGAAACCGAAACCTTGACGACTGCGGATTAGGAATAACGGAACGTGAGATAATTGTTCGTATTGATCGCGGATGCCGAAGTGATTAATTAGGCAACGCTCCACAGCGTTGCGGCAACGAAAGCAATAGAAATATCCCGAGTAAACGCAACTCAATCGCAATGCAATTTTCTGTTTGCACAAGTTATAAAACACACTCAATAGACACAATGAAAAAGGGATATAAACGCCACGCTGTACGATAAACCGCAACGTACAACCGGTCGATTAATTAGATTAGTGCGGAGAAATCGGATTACACGAGAAAGCGTGGGCCTGGGCGGAATTACAAAACGCGACCTTTTTAATCACTTCCGCAAATTCGCGAGCGTAAAAGTTCGCCTCGTTTAAAAACTTCCTTACTCGGCCAAAATTTTATGTCCCGCCTGAGAGACGCGTTAGCTATAATTTATATTGCCGCGCCGCGCGCAGTAGGAAAGCGACTAATTATCAGTCAAAGGACTTGCAGGGACAAAATTCCCATTGGCATTAATTGCGCTCAAGCTGAATGAATTTCGGCGAAATAGATAAGGTCAACGAGAATTTCGAAATGCGTTAAACACGGGCTCGCGAGGGTGGTCGTGCAGCCCAATTTGCATACATAATAGGACGATAATATTCCACTTTTCCCGAATTAGTATATTCTCAGGAAGTATATGTACGTGCCCGTCAGGAAATTGTTTATACAAAATCCAGTTAACCGCAGTATTTTCTTTGCAAACAAAATTCGACTCCTCTACTCGTTGTACAAAGACGATAAGATACAATCGTAGAAAAATCAACTGTCGAAGTACCTTCGTGTCTCGTTCTGACGTCTGTTGATACAAAATACGAAAGTATCTGGAAAAATATTTACCTTCCAATGATCTTCGTTTTTACATGAAATAATTTAATTAATTAATTAACAGCTTTTAAAGAAGAAACTGTCAAGTGCACTTTCGAAAAGCACGCAATTCCATACTGCAAATTACATTTTTTTCCCCTTAAATGCAATTACACGGTTCGCCCAGCAATCAGTTTATTTCGTTATTTCATGCATAAAAGTATTGAAGTAAAAATGATCGGAAATTGTGTAAGTACTTTAAAGGATATTTTATATTTTATGTTGAAATGTACCATAATGAAATATATCTCTCTAAATTCTATTAATTTCCCCGATGACTGCTCAATACTTTTACGCGGATGCAAAATGACTGGATGAATTGAATCACGCGCAGGAAATATTACGTTTTGCACTTAAACAACCTCTCGATAGCGTTTGCATCCTGCGAAATGCACACGTCAAAAGTACACGCGTGCAATGTATGCACATAAACAGCGAATATTTAATTTCCGATTAAATTTTTTACCGAGGGGGAATGCGAATTTGTCGCGTGCGAACGCCCGGGCGTTATTGCAGACGAAGTGCGCGCGTGCTACGATTTCCATTTCGCGAATTCCGTACGACTGTACATATATTCGTCAGGTCGATCGAACGTGGAGCATCAACGGCCACCACGGAGGATTGATTTCGCGCGAGAGTGGACGGGGTCGTTGTGTGCGCTGACATTTGACGCCCGCCGTGTCATTGCGCACGCATCATTTCGCAGGAAATGCACAGCCGTGGGCACAGTCCGCGCGCTATCGTCGCGGAAGCGGCTCATAAGAATATATTTATTTTGTCAGTGCACGTCACGAGGAGAGGGAGACAGAGGCACGCATGTGCGATGACATGTTGCACGAAGGCGCGTCCGTCGGATTAATTGGGGTAGTGCACTCCGCGAAAACTCGTATTAAAGCGGGAGGCGGAGAGAGAATTTTTTAAAGTTTTATCGAGATTACGTATTTTCGGGGAAAATCAAGCGCGTGCGTGCGCGCGCGCGCGCGGCGGAGAAGTAATAAATAACAGATTGAAATTAATAAAATCCATTTTTTGTAAATAAAATATACATACGCCTCCCGTTATTTTTGGATTATACAAATGAAACGACGGCGAACGAATACGCGTTATGAATCACGCCTGCGTGAATGTACATAAGCTGTACCACTTAAATAATAAAGTTAGGAATTTTCGAAGGAAAGAGTCACGCGCGTGAAAATATATACGCGGCGGCTTATCGCGCTTCGAGATTAAACGTATTCGTAATGACCGAACGGCACACGTCCTTTGGCGTATTAAAGGTCCTTTCAAATGAGTTTTGCGTGGGGTTGCGTAATAAACTGCACACACACACGCGCGCGCATACGCACACACGCGAACTGCGTAAAACTCATTAATGTAGCACGTCGAACATTTCGTCGATATTACGAATCATAATTACTGCATACGTAGTCATAGAGATGTCTGCCGTTGCGACACGTCGGATAAACAGATGGTTATTATCGGCAACGTGTATCGGCGGACTGTGGCCTGAGCTTGTTATGATTTTTATCGGACGGATAAACGGGGCATCTGAACGATCCGTTCAACGAGATAATTCGTCTGATGGTCAAAGTCGAAGATGGAGGAAGGTTCCCTATTATGAGATAGCGGAGTTTCCGCTAAAGTTAACCCTTTGCACTCCGATTTATATTTCATCTATTTTCATCTATTGGTTTGGACTTGAAAAAATGTCGAGTGAGACTCGACAAAGAAGCTCCCGAGATAGAAACTGACGTCGAGTCACACTCGACATAGGAGTGCAAAGGGTTAATAGGCGTCGTCTACGTATTGGTTTCACCATGGATTTATTGCCCGTGGAGCGTTTGTCTAGGGGCTCGATTCTAGAATTCATTCGAGAGGAGAAACGTAGGGGAAAGTCCTCTGTTATGAGACAGGCTCCTAATACGGGACGGTGGAGTTTCTGCTAAATTAATTGGCATCGTCTGTGTTGGCTCCACCATGGATTTATTGCCCTTGGAGCGAAGTCTGTTTAGCGGACCATTGATTGTTAGATCGTGTAATCGGTGCGAAAAAAAGATAAAATTTGAAAACCTATCTATCTCATTAGATCTTATAGAAGATTTTCCTGTACGAACGTCTCGTCACGGAGAATTTAAATTCCCCGAAACGTTGATTCTCCCACTGTTCTATTCGTTTCCGTATCGACGACAGATTATCACCGATAAATATCGATCGTCCGCGAGACCTTATTACGATTGGACAGACAGGGATGAAGTAATTTATCCTGTTCTAGGATCGTATTTTGGGAACGAAATTGTATGTTAAAAATAACAGAACAGAAAGGAATAATGTTAAGACGCGAGAGGAAGAACATTAAAGGTGTGCAAAAACGTGATATCGCCGAGTCAATCGGAAACCATAAGCAAAAACACGCCATAAAGTATAACAGAACATTCCTAACAGTTTTGTTACATTATAATAAATACATATATGATAAAATTATAATTCGGTTTTACAATTGCATCGTAAACCTTACTTTCGTCGCGTTATTCGCGATGCACGTAAGAAATACGACGCTAAGCGACTTCTGAGGATCCAATCTGGATTTCAGCACGGCGGTAAATTCCGCAGAAATAGGATCGGCGCGAAATAGGGGAAATGTGTGGCGTCGTCCTTCCGAGCTCTCGCGCATTATCCATACTTGGGACGCAATCAAGTGCATGTACTCAAACCGACGAAAGAGGCGCGAGAATAAAAAAAAGTCGTGGGTGACGCGGGAAATGCGGCCGCGGAGGAAACGAGGAGGCGTCGCGTCGCGTCGGCGGTCGTGCAAAAATTCGGCGTCGCGACATCCCGCGCGGGATATCGCCGCGTCGCGCCAGTTTACGTAAGTCGGGGGCGTTATTGATCTAATCAGGAAAACGCGTCCTCGCCGAGGCGAGGAGGTTATGCCGTTGTCTCGAGCAACGTTCTCTCGAGGGCTAACGGAAGCGAGCCTTCGCGACTCGGCTCGCGATTAATACCAGCGAGGCCGCGAGAACGGGAAGTCCTGCCCGTTTTATTCGCGTCTCGCGGAATTCGGCTGCTCCTTGTCGCGCAACGTCCGGACGCCGGAATCCGCCCCGGAGACCCCGCGGGTTTCGAATTTTTCGCCGCCGCCGCCGCCGTCGTCGTCGTCGTCGTCGTCGTCGTGGCGGAGGAAGAATTCGCGTCCACGCAGAGCGGGAGGAGGATCGATTCGCGTAAGCGACAGCTCGCGTTCGCGGCGCAGTTAGCGAATCGCGCACGCACGACCGCGTCGCGGCGAGTAGCGACGGCGTAGCGACGGGAGACGAGGATCCGCGGAAAAGGCACACGGCGAGTCGCGGCTAGCAGACGACCCGCTCTCCCTCCCGCCCGCCCTTCCGTCCACCGTGTCGCCCCGTCGCAACGACGTTGCAGGTTATGGCAGGACAGGGGGAGTACCTGGTGTTGTTCTTTTTCTCGAGATCGCCGCCGGTCTCGACGTCCGGGGACGTCGGTTTGGGCACGTCGGGTGTCGCCTCGCTGCCGTTCTCGGGCTTCTTGCCCATCCAGTTGGACACCTGATTCGTCAGGCCGGAGAACATCTTGCGACGTACGTCGGCGAGCTCGGCTGGAGTCTGCTCCTCTCTCTTTCTTTCTTACTCACTTCCTCCCTCGACCGAACGACGACGTCTCTCGCTTACGACGTTAATCGAGCCGGAAATCGTCACCGAAGCCCTCGCGGGATCGGAGCGACAACGGATACAAGAATACCTCGTCCGTCCTCGCGACAGCGCAGCCACGAACTGCGTAAGCGGCACGTGCACGCGCGCAACTCGCGTCGCGCACCCGTCGCGACGCCAGCGCCGGCCGGCCTTGCGCGACGGGCCCGCGTACCACAGCCGACCATCGATTGCACGGCGACGCGGCGCGCGACGCGCGCAGCCGCCGTTTGATTGTCGGCGCACAGAAATCGCGATTCGCGCGATACGCCGCGCGATGACGAATGCTCCGAACGATTCCGAATCTCTGACGGTCGATCAGAACCCTACGACGAAGCCTAGATTCCCCACGACTTGGAAACGACGAGATTCGTTTTCTGTTCCCGCGCTGGTCGACTAGTGCAATAAATTCGAGTGAGACAAATATTTTTTTTTTCTCACTCTAGCTTGCTGCACATAGTTCACCAGTGCAGGAACGGAGAACAAGCCTACGGATTTAGAGAAAGGCGCCGGAATCGGAGCCCGTCGTACTGAACAACTAGAATTCTTAGAATTCTCATAGATCCTACCCCAGTCAGAAATGACTCGTCGACATCGAAACAGTCGTATTGACAGGGTTGGGAAAGTAGCTCGTTACTTGTAACGAAGTTACAGTTACTCTTTTTTGGTAACTCTAACTTAAGGGGATGCTGGAGTGATGCTGCACTTTTGGCACCTTTTGCTCCTAGAACTGTCAATTCGTGAAAACATTTGTGTAATATACAAATTATGCGGCTCTTGTGTACAAACCGACAGCTTGTATTCCAATAATCTGACTAAATCAGAGAACAGCGTGGTATCATTGGAATTAAGTTTGGAAGCCTAACAAAAAATCTATTCACTCGATTAAGTTATAGGTTAGGTATTCTATAACTTATTCGAGTGAATGGATTTTTTGTTAGGCTTCTAAACTTAATTTCAATTATACCACGCTGTTCTTTCACTTAAACTGAATAGTGGGACACTGTCGGTCCGTACACAAAAGCCACATAATTTGTATATTACACGAATGTTTTCACGAATTGACAGTTCTAAGAGCAAAAGGTGCCATTTAATAGTTACATTAATAGTCACTTTATATATTTTTTAAACCTCCGCAGATCGCATTAGGTCTTGCATGTGCACATAAACGCCTTCATCGACACTTTACAATTCAAATGCAGATTTAATATTTTTATTTTTTTATTGCACGAAAGTAACTGCAAAGTTACGATTCTGATGGGTAACTGTAACGCGTTACTTTTCAGAATTTGTAACGTCTAACTATTAGCGCAAAAACTGCAACTGTAACTAGATATTTTTATAAAGGGACTTTTCCAACCCTGCATATTGACGTCGATTCGACAGCGTTTCGACGTCGATCGACGAGTCATTTCTGACTGGGGCAAAATTTGCCGATTTGAGGCGATTTTTGGCGATTGTTTGGCACATATGGCAAAGTGTACCAAAGCGTACACTCGGCGTCACGAATGCTTTTACACCTGAAAATAGCCGTCAAGTTCAATATATTCCGATAGAAAAATTCATTTTATTAAAATCAATTTTCTATTGGATATTTTAGCATCTTTCTTCGGGGGTAAAGGCATTTATGAGCGTACACTCTGCTATTTGTATCAAACAGTCGCCAAAAATAGCCTTTGATCGACAGAGATTGATGACGAAGATTCGGCGCGCTTCTTGTAATCGTCTCAAATACTTTCTGCATTTTCTTTATAAATAACATCGAGAAGACGTAGAGTCTATAATGTATGTATCTTGCTGTGCTCTTACTCTTGACGAATAATATTGGGAAGAGCAGGATAAGTGTATATACTGTATGCATAGAATTTCTTTTCCTCTGCGATACGCCGTGTTTTAATTTATGACAGACCTGGGAAGCGCAATCTTGGCCCAGAGTCAATATTTCAGGAAAATTGAATTTATAATAGAACGGCTAAGGTTGAAAATTTAATTTCCCTCGGGGAGTCGAACCGTAAAAGAATATTAATAAATAACGATGGCTCTTGATACTATGCGATTCCTCCGATCAAAAGCGCGGGCAAAATAACAGGTAGATTCGAGCGATAAACAATTGTCGACAAAACAGCTCGGATTTCCGCTCTAACTTAACAAAGATGAGTAACAGGTCTTTTACTGGTTAGGTCGAGATAAACTCACAGTGAAGATTAAATTAATAGACAGATTAATGAAAAAAAAAAAACTTAACGACCGATAAAACACGCGAGTTCGGGTCTGATGGCTCGGCGAATCCGAGAACTTCTCCCGTAATGTCTCTTCTAAACCCCGTGACACGCCTGCCTGAACAGCAACGCATCGTCGCGGAAGGGTGATAAAACCCATTAATCAAATAAGATTTGATCCTCCGATCGGCGGATGTAAAATATCCCCGTGCTCGGCGCACGGCCAGGATACGAGACGTCGACGCGCATTATTTCCGTTATTAAAGCGCGATATCGAGTACGGCGTCGTAAAAGCAATGTTTCATCGCCCGACAACTTACCACCATCCGTGGGACAATCGAGCACTTTTACCCTCCGGCAATTAGGTGCGTCGCGTTGAACGTCGACGCCTCGGGTGCGGTCGGTCGCTAGGATTTCACAACGCAGCGACATTAAAAATATCTGTAATTTTATTTCAACTTTGATCGGAGCGAGAGGCAGTTACAACGATATTACGATATTGACACGTATAACAACTTTGTATGGTTTGTCCGCTGCCCTTTGAAGCGCCGCGTCACACCGATATGTCATGCGGAAGCACCGTGAGCGTCGTTACGTCTAGAGGTAGAGCGCACGTGGTGGCGTTAATGGCCGATATACGCAGGTACAATCGTGCGGTCGATGGGACTGATAGCGCGCGATGCGACACGTGCGATTCGTTATAGTCACACCTGGCCGTCCTCGGCCGAGACTCTGTTCGTCCTGTATAGTTGTACTCCTTATCTACGTAGCGTACAATCGTTTATCGCGCAGCACCCGAACTGAATAATGTCACGCCGTGTGCCACACGTATCACAGTTTGGCACCAAGAAAATTAATTAATTCTTTTATCTTACTTGTGAAACTCGCTATGTGCCTTTCGATCGGTCCCAGAGACGTCTAATAGCTATCGCGAAAACATTTGCAAACGACGACAATCGAATATCTTGAAGTTATTTGGGGACGACATTACTCAGCGAACACAAATGTGGCATTTACATAACGTTGATGTAACTGCTACAAACTGCGTTTACCGGGTGGTTCAGGTCCATTAGACTATTAGAGAATATGCTGCGAGCATAGACAGATCGAACGTAATATCTTTTCGTAATTTTAAAGTTAAGACCTGACTTAATGTACCACTGATTCGTCCTTGAAGTTTCACATTCGTTATTTAGACATATTGGTCGGATACGCTAGATATCACGTCACTAGACTACTCGTCCCGACGTGCTAAAATGGTAACCTAAACATTTCAAACTTAGCGAAGAATTAAATATTCTTTCCTTCGTTTCCCTAGGAATGTGTATCTATATCTATATGTACAGTTATCGTCAGTGAGCTGCGTCTGACGGGATCGCTTTCGTTGCCTTCAGAGTTGCTTGCTGGCGGTGATACCTGAGACAAATATTAATTTGGTAAAGTTAAAGCCCCGGGAGAGTGGCTGGAGGCAGAGTCGCGACATCAAACGTTATAAATTATGCGAAAAGCCGTGAGCAAAACAGGAAAATGCCGGCAGACTCACTTAAGCGATTTCTGCGACATCGTTCAGAGAATTCTGCGGAAACAAGATTTTTACTTTATAATCACCAAAGACCCGTTTCTATGTCAGCGTAATAGAAATGGCATTCGCAAGATACAGAAACGAAAATATCGCGAGGCGTGAATCTGTCGGACGAAACCTCGAGGGGTAGACCGCTGGCCAAAATCGTGTACATACACCAATGGCCTACTAATGCCCAGTGGGAATTCCGTCATCTTATTATCACATTTTATCTTATTTACCTTGTTGTATCTTATTTTATCTTTATAATGTCCCAGCAATGCCCAAACTAATGCCCAGTAATGCCGTAAATTTGTACACCACCCAGATAGCACACATAGTTCTATGAATATTCTTCTGGAGTGAAAATATTCTTAATTTCAGAGTATTCCAATCAAATATTCTATAAATATGTATAGATTATTACAATTAGAAATCATATATTCATAACAAAGTAGAACGTTTTTAGAATATTCGTCGAGAATGTCTTTGGAATATTCGTTCATCATTTTTTGATAGTCATCGACTTTAAGTATTGCACATTGTTTATTGTGTAATACACTTATCTTATGCAAAAGGCAGTGAAACCTGTGATCGTACCATATATAACCGACACGCTATATTCGATAGATTATTCGATTCGCATTCGAAAAAGATTTATAGTAGTGCCAGTCGAATCTCAAGTAGAACATATTAGTCATGAATTCAACATCAAGATGACATCATTTTTTTATAATTTTTTTATGCATCACGGGTGACGTCAAAATAGCCCACCGAGAGCACCTATTTGTGACATCGTTAAGACATCAAGATGTTGTAAAAATGATCTTGTTTTACAAAGCAAAGTTAATTAAATATTATACATAAAAAATAAATTGAAGTAATATAAGATGAACATAATATACGACTGATCATGTAATCTGTAATAATCTATTATTGTACACATCACGAATATCATAAAACAGCATGTCCTAAATCAGTCATTGCAAAGTAAATCTTGATGTCGATCATTTTATGACGTAAAATTCATCATTTTAATGTCACATTGACGTTTTCGTGATTAACTTGTTCTACTTGGGATGTTCCACGAACACGAGACAAATATATAAGAATGACCTATGGAATATTCCAAATATTCTCCAAGAATATTCTTGAAATGTTCGTAGGAGGATCTTGTGCTATCTGGGAATGTCCTCAGCGGTTTACCCCTCGCGAATCTGATAGAATTTTACGGTACGAGTTGACAAGTTACACCAAAGAAATTACCTCAGGGCCCTCGTTATTTGGTATATAGCCGTGAACGCGACGAAGAGGTTCACGCTAAAGAGATTCCAGTTTCTCGGGCTGATGGCCAGGGAGTATCTGGTCCAGATCAACCCCGTGATACCCAGGGCACAGGACTGAGTGGGGGAGATTTTGTTCGGTGGTCTCTGCAAGTCACCAATGCCGGCGATTACGAGGCCCTACAAATTATAGGAGTAGCGATTTACATATCTCTTGTTACTGGTCTTGTCTATTTTCAACATTTGTATCTGTGTGCACGCTATAATGGGAAAATCGACGAATTTTACATATCGCACGTTTGACCACAGTTCTGCTTGTTTTTTTTTAGACACGTACACATAAATAAATGAAAAAATTTGTCCGCTGTAAAACAGATTTAAATAGCGTAATAACGAGCGCGCATAAATCGTTCCGCGTTTCGTAATGTATGCATATCACGGGATTAATATTTGTATCATTTCTTTATATTTATATTTCACGCTTTGTAGCAACATGTGAAATGTCATACGCCGTTAAAACAAATATCCCGTAAAACCGTATTTCAACCGTAAAAATATGTATATATTTTTTTTACAATGATAAAACGCACGTATTTATTTATTACTGAAAATTGCCGCACACCCATTGAATTGAAATGATTATAGCACGAATGAACGCAGCAGCGTTCGGGGTATTTCTGTAACGAATCTGTTTGCCAGCACCCATTTGATAGCAACTGCCTTGAAACAGAATTGTGTACCTACATGCAAGCTATTATTTAATCACGTGACGTTTTACGATACTTTTAAAGAGATGAAAAGAAGAGAAAAAGGGAGAACTCTAGGCAAGTAAAAGCAAACTTTAAAGGGAAGTTCCGCGTTACGAAGCTGTTTTATTGCGAAAATCTACGTTCCGCGTTTACATAACGCCGTTTGAGCGCCCTGGATCGTCCCCATTCGCTTGCTACTCGATTAAGTTATCAGAATCGCGACACGGGTCAGTAATAACGATCTATCGAAAGAATGAAAACATTGTTACTAACCCACTTGAAGGCCGGTGCCCAGAAGAAGATGGTCTGTGGACCTAGAAAAAAAAGACACGTATTGCAATCAACATGAATTACGCGTGTATGTAAATGGCGCAATGCTCTCGCGTTTATGTTATCGGTCTCGCGCGCGTGTACTAGCTATGCTTACACTTGGCGCGAGACACTACCGTGTCTCGTGATTATACGGTGTCTACAATAAGATCTTCGAAGGGTAAACCGCTGACCAAAATCATGTAGGTACGCCAATGCCTACTAATGACTAGATCTTTTTCATTTTTTTTTTGAGATTCTTTATAATGCCCCAGCAAGGCCAAATAACACCCATTGATACCCCAAAAAATTCCTAATAATGTCTAGCAATGCCCGAAATCCGCTGGTGGTTTCTGCATCTTGCCCTATGTAAAAATGCTAAAAGTGAGCGGCTTTGTCTCTTTTTAAAGGGGACAGTTGGAAGAAGACAGGGCTACTTACTTTTAGAGACCCTGTAATCAGAGACTGGCCGTAAGAGTTCGTCAAATTCCTGCGAGTGAGAGAGAAATATAGGCTGTCTCACTCTTCTACGTATCGTAACAATCGTAGAAGAGTGAGACAGCCTATGTTTCTCTCTCACTCGCAGGAATTTGACGAACTCTTATGGCCAGTCTCTGATTACAGGGTCTCTACAAGTGAGTAGCCTTGTCTCTTTTTAACTGTCCCCACAAAGCCGTTCGCTTTGAACACTTTCACTATGTTGCAAGATACAGAATTGACCCCCTGTACACAGACTGGCCAGAAGGTTTACTCCCCTCAAAGATCTTTAAGATGTAAAATTTAAGAAAGTGACCTGTCACAATCAAATGCGAGGAGAATACTCGACTGCAAGTGGTCATTTTCCTAAATCTTACAACTCCTTAGAGAGAGATAGAGATCTGATTGCAGACGCCGCATTAGATCCGCGGTCAGCTTGTTTTCCATTCAACTGTCTTTCTTACAATTCTATCGAGGCGCTCGACGCAATATCGGGACTTTCCTTTATTTACATATGTAGAGAAAAGTCCCCTATTTTGAAATAAGCTTCTAACATAAGATAGCAGTTTTTCAACGTCCAAATTCAATCACAAATTTTTTTTCGCAAATGATTACACGATCTAACAATCAGTTTTCCTCTAAACAGATTTCACTTCAAGGGCAATCAATTCATGACGGAACCAACAAATGTTGTCTATTAATTTAGCAGCAACCTCGCTATCTCATACTAGGAACATGTCTCATAATAGAGCACGTTCCTCTGTTAATATTGAAAAAATACATTTTAGACGCGAAATGTGAAGAGCCGGAAGCTTGGAAGAGTACAGTTCCACCGCAATCAAACGCGATAATCAATGCACCAGCCCGATTGTATCGGCGCGTCCCCGCCGCAGCGTGTATACCCTCGTATACCCTTGACTCTATTCGCTCCATCTGTTCGAGCTTCCGCTCTGATAGCCTAAGTAAATTCGTCAGAGCAACTTTGACACGGGCACGATGCCGCGCGGCCTCGTTCGCCATCCATCGCAATTCGGTGAAGGCACGACCGCCTCGTCTGGCTCGGCAGCCACGCGAAAAGGCACGTTGGTGGAAAATAGGACAACCCGATACAACTCGCGGAATGAACAAATACCGACACTCCCCGCGCCTAATAATAATTTCGTTGTATGTTGCCTCGCACTATACATCGATTACCATTCGATGTTGAAACACAGCCTCTTATGCCAAAGCTAGGAACGTAAACATTATTCAATGGACGGTTCAGTTACGAGTAGAGGAAAGTCCTCTATTATAAGATAGATATCTAATACGAGATAGCAGGTTTTCAACGCCCAAATTCAATTATATTGAATTTATAGGCTCCAAATAATCAATTTGCTAATAGAGAAAAGTCCTCTATTATGGGATAGGATTCTATAATAATACGAGATAGCAGGTTTTCAACACTCAAATTCAATTATATTGAATTTATAGGCTCCAAATAATAGAGGAAAGTCCTCTATTATGGGATAGGATTCAAATATGAGGTGGCAGGTTTTCAACGCCCAAATTCAATTATATTGAATTTATAGGCTCCTAATAATGCTACATCAATTTGTTAACAAAGGAACGTCCTCTATTATAAGATAGATTTCTAATGTGAAATAGTAAGTTTTCAACACCCAAATTCAATCACAAGTCTTTCTTCGCAACGATTACACGATTGAACAATGAATTTTCCACTAAACGGATTTCGCTCCAAGGACAACAAATTCATGATGGAATCAACTGATGATGCCCTGTTGACTTAACGGAAACTCCGCCACCCCGTATTAGGATCCCGTCTCATAAGAGGGGACTTTACAATTTAATATGGCGATACCAGTGAGCGTCTTATAAACTCACGAGACGGTCGATATCGGGCTCAGTTTATAAAATCACTTGCATCTGTGAAACGAGATAAATTCAGCATCATCAATTTTTCCAATCGCCGACGTAATTCTTTCATTCATCGCCAACGATTTACCGGCAATCATCGTTTATTCTCCCCTCGATTTCGACGGGCGCCTGCGATACGCGTGAACTTGTAGATTAAAATCTAGGATAATAAGACTGCGAACATTAAACGGGGTCCAAGGTTGACGATATCGCGAACGAGCTACGCACGTCTCGATCGGCGAGTGAAAAGAAAAAGACACGCGAGAAACGCGTACGTACGGCCGCGATATGGAAATTGCAGCGAGCGACACATTAATTAATCCAGAATGCAGATACGCGGACTAATTTAAGAAGGCGGCCTCGAAGGGGACTGCATTGTATAAAGAGCCTGGGTGTTTTGCTATTCGCGTGCCGCCGTCGGCGAGTCGCCAAGTCTCGCGATATCAATATGCGGAAAAGGTGCTTGCGTCACTAAGTAGCCGGCGATAAACGACGAGATAGAACTATCGGGCCACAACATATACATTTCCGCGTACCGACTTATCGCGACTGCGGTAGATATCGATATTAAAACCCGGTAAACATTAGTAATAATCGACCCGGTGGTCACCCACGGTAGTTCGAGGAAAGTCCTCTACTATGAGATGGTTTTCAACGTCCAAATTCGATTACAAGTCCTTTTTCCGCAACGATTACGCGGGGTCCCAGCGAGAAATGACTCTGTCGATCGACTCTACATCGTTTCGACGAAGCATTTCTCACCGAGGTTCCCATTTCCTCTCAGTACTACTGACGGCACCTCCAGCAAGTCTTGAGCATTCAGTGTCAAAGAAAAGGCGCGGATGGTTGCACTCGGAAAAGAATAACATGTGTTATTACGAAGGATACTGAGGTCTTATTTGAGACTGATTTTCTCAGGTCCAGTTTCACAAACGTCGGTTAACTGTTAACCAGAGTTCAGTCGACTCCCTATCTTTCTCTATCTTGTTATCCAAGAAGAGACAGAGGATCAATTAACCATGGGTTAGCGGTTAAACGACGTTTGTGAAACTGGCCCTCAGAGGCCGAATTGAGTAACAGCGCCCAGTACTGGCAGCAATGCTGAGAAGAAATGGTAACAGACCCGCGTTCTAACAGTCAATTTCCCACCAAACAGATTTCAGTCCAGGGGCAATGAACTCGTGGTGGAACCGACAGATAATGCCTCGTAATTTAGCTGAAACTCCGCTATCTCGTATTAGGAGTCTATCTCATAACAGGGGGACTTTCTAATGACACTTCGCGATCGATGCATAACGATAAGCTGGATGCGCAGCGAAACGATTCACCAACACAATCCCGGGGAGAAAAATATCGTTTATCTAAAAAAAACCACGTCACGTCCGGTGCATCTTTCACAATCAGTCCGTCACGCAAGCACACACACATGCACACGAACACGCCCGCGCGCACGCACGCAAAACACACACACACACAGACACGTGCTGGAGGCACGTGCCACCTGCTCGGATCGACCGCTTTACCAACCAGCTGGATGTTTCCACAGAGGCTGCAGCTTCTCGGGCACGAACTTGCCGATGGCGTTCATCGAGTTCTTGTAGATCACCGACATGGCCAGGCCTGTTCGCGGGTGCGAGTCGTCGACGCGGCGCGGCTGACGCGGATGACTCGGCGTGCGATCGTGGCGAGCAGCGGACACGGACGGGGGCAATCACGGCATCCGCGCGCCGCGATCGAGAAACGCCAAGTGTCCGGATTGGTCGCGACGCTCGCGCGGCTGCTCCCCACGACCTTCCCGGCTCTCGCCGCACGCCGACGGGGATCTGGCCCAGCCTCGCGGGCCGCGCGGACGGGGAGCGGTGGCTCCTCGCTGAGACCGCGTCGGAGACGGACGTGGCTAGACCTGAAATATTTCCCCAGCTACCTTGGATCCACGATGTGGCCAGGCCGCAACGCGAAAACGATGGGGGTTGGTTACACGGGGGTGGCCGCGAAGCTGACCCCACGTGTAAATATAGACGACGGATCGATGGCAAGTTTGCGCAGACACGGACTCTCCGTCAAGCGGCGCCAATTTGACAGAAATGTTATTCCTCTAATTTTAGCAGGCGTCCTTTTGCTAAATTTGCCAAACGCCAATGTAGTTTGCGGACACGCAGTCGTGCTCGAGGAACTTGCGTGAATATTTGCAATTTAGTCGTGAAAACTCCAATTTATGAGCGAACGGCCTCGTCAATTTTCAAACCTGAAAATTTTTCTTAGAAGAATTACCAAGTTTTGCAATTTTATAATAAACGAATTGAATTTCATGATGTTATAGATAATAAATATTAAATAAGATCGCACGATAAAGACGTGGAGTACAAAAGCACGCGGAAGAGCCTTCAAGACATAATTAGTGCTAGTTTCTCTCGTAACTGGTTAAATCTGGTTACGTACGTAGTCTATACATGTGTACAAAACTGGTATAGTACACGACCTTGCGGAAGTGCTTGCTGACATTGGCCGAGAGTTCCAAATCGGACACTCGGATGTTCGCCAAGTTGACTTCATTCTTACGACAGTCATTCTCTATTAATAAAACACAGTGCACTTGTTCCGCAATGCCATTTCTTGAGATGATTACTAGTTTCGAACAATATTTATATATCGAAAGCAAGATAATATAATCGAGATAACTTATTACTAAATCATATAAATCACTATAATAAAACAGAATAGATATAAGAAACACATTATTGCGTATATACACAATTATTATATTTAATTTTATGACGTCTACGTTTTTTTAACAGCGTCGTAAAAAATATATATATATATACATATTGTAGGCAAATGTATAAGTAAAACGCAAGTAAAAAATTGAGCTTGACATCAGAATATTTATAATAGTCGAATAATTGCACCGCCCAATTTTCTAACTATATCGTTTCTAAATAACGTCGTTTGTCAAATCGAAGACGATGCGCATCTAATCGTTTATTATCGAAATAACAAAAGCGGAACATCCTGTCGATATATTATATCGATCGGAGACAATTTTTATTATAAACAAAGATCCATAAGCTAAGAAAACTTTTGAAGTAATTTTATACATTATAGTTATCATAACGTAGTGGGAAATTTAAATTAAATACGGACATGTATTATGGAACTTGTCGGAATAGATTCTGATTGAGTTTACTTCGTTTTCTCAATAGAAATCTTGAAAATAACTAAAACCAACAGTACACAATACTATTTTTCCTACTGGATTGCCTGCGAGAGCTAATCAGGATGCAGAGATCAGGTGATTTAAGTCCTGATTAACTTTCATAAGCAATCCAGTAGGAAAAATAATATTGTGTGTCGCTGGCCCCGTTCCGAAAAGTTCCATAATTCATATCCGTAATTTACAGAAAAAGATAATATAAATGCACATTATAGTCCTATATCAATGTATATAAACCCTTATAGAAATGCAACAACTGGGAACAAAAAAAAGCATTGAACAATTACTAGAGTTCAATAATTGAATTATTAGAAATTATTAATGTACAGTAATTTTCTAATAATTATTTCGCTAACATTTCTATAAGGGAAGGATTTTTATTGAAACGTGGTTACTTCTAGATTTATATACGAAGTAGAAAAATACGTGAGATCAACTAAAGTTCAATTCTCTGTTAGCATGACAATTCGGCGAAATTGACAGACTCAACAGTAAATTTGTTCGTATCGAAAATCTCAAAAAATCCTGCATTTATAAAACGAGACAAATATACACTGGAGAAGAGAAGATTCCGCAAAAAGTCAAGTAATAATCTGTTTCATTTCACGATGCCAACAGAGAGTCGGAGTCGAAAACTTGCGATACGTAAAAAAAGTGGTAAAAAAACGGAATTCGTACAAAAAGATCCTAGCGATAACAAAGAGTATGATTTCTTACATAACTATGGGACGCGATCTGGTGTTCGCTAAATCTCGACTCTTATATCTCGATATACATATAATATTACAATAAATACTATTAAGTAGAATAATTGGAGCAAAGTTGTAATCACAATAGAGCTTTGATGTAAAGACGTCATTTAATATCACATGTACGTCTTTAAAATAGATAAAAAAACTTTGTGATTTTTTAAATACATTTCTTTGCCCCTTTACAACACAATCTTGTACATGTGGTTGTACATGTTCATAAGGCACATGAATTATATGTAATTAAACAATGTCCTGTATTAAAGATCATTACGTAGGTATATAATATTGCTATACATATCGATATTTGTATATGTATGAAATATGCAACCATTCGACTGGATGGACACAGTATTCATGAACTGTTATGCTCATCAGTCTTTGTTTTTAATATACAAAAACACACTGGTTTAAAAAACAATATAAAATCTAATACATACTAGCACATACCAGCATATTCTGCTAAAAATCTAATATGTATCTATCTGCTACAAAAAGTACTATACTATATTTATGAAGATTAATCATTCAAATATTCCTATCGTGTTACGCTGTTATGTAAATTATGTACATGATCACAAGTATCTTCAAGTATTTTTATGATATATTCATAATACATTTTTCATAATCAATATAAACATTATGTTTAATTCTTTTAAAATTGTCTGAAATATGATTACAGACATCAACAGAATCACAATAATTTGTATACACAAGAGAGAAGCAAAGTGCTATATAACTATGCAATAAAATAAGATTTTTATTAACTTTTAATATTTTATTTTTTTTGCGAGAAAGATTTATTTAAATGTATCAGTGCACGCTATCAGGCGTCTTAAAGCAATTATTATTTTGTTCGATATCAATATAAGCAAGAATTATTAAAATTGCTCTTAAGCTCAGCAAGCATATAAAATATTTATATAAGCTTTTCCTACAAACAATGATTAAAAGAATAAATGCAATTAATGTACGTATAAAATTATTCCAATTTCGAAAAATGTATTAATAATCATAATACTTGATTAACATTTCGCAAGATATATATGTCCAGTAGAAAAGTTAAAAATGCTGTAGCATTTATAAACGGTCAGCTTAATCTACGATGTACTCTTTGTGTCTAGAAACATACTATTTTGTAACCAATAAATACGTTTCAAAAATTTGTGCAAGTTGATAAATTGCACATTATACGATGTACAGTCTTATGTTATCGACGAATTTGTTGAAACGTTTTTCGATTTGTTTATATAAAACCGAATGTTTCTAGACGCAAAGAACACATTGTAGATTAATCGTAAATGCAAGAGAATACAAATGTATTTATAATGTACATGTTTGGCAGCTTAAAATATTTATATAGGATTTATGAATGGCACAAAATACACACAAAATACATACAGTCTGTTATACAAGAATGTGCGAGCGCTTCAAATCAGTCTCCATTATTAATCAATTATTGCCTGGTAAATCTTTGTATTTTTAATAGTGATTTTAGTAGCAAAACAGCAACGAATTTTTTATTAAATGTTCGCAATCGGCGCGCAGTTTACTAAGTTGGAAAAAGTACAGAAAATTTACATGAAAATATTACTATACGTAGGCTATTAAAAATCAGTCTGACCAAAAATGGCAGCTTCTCTAACGATTTATGATAAATTTTCTATAATATTATTAAAATATTATACATGAAATTTATTGATTGTCAATTCAAATTGCATGAAAAGCTTCGAGGCAACAAAAGATTACTCGTACAATCTTGTGCAACAGATTGCATATGTATATAATCCAGCTGTTTTTTAATAATATATTGTAACTATGTTTTTGTTCTTATATATAGCAGAAAATTTTTCTATAAAAATTGTAAGAAAAATGTATATCTGAAAATTGGCTTTACGTAAGCAGTAAGTTAGATTTAACTCTTTGTTAAATGCAACTGGCAGTAAATGATATTACTATAAATAGATATAAGTATGTACGTTTCATCAACATTAGTTTGAGCACATGTGGCAATATACTAAAACATGTCTCCTAATATATACATTTCATTAAAATGGTGCACTGATACACGCATTTTAATGGCATCCATTGTACTATTATTGTACATATCAAGCCACTAACTTCCTGTCATCATTGTTTCGGGCTCAATCAATTTAAATGTATTAGTAGATCCGTACATGTCAACCATAACAAATTTACTGAAATCTGGTGAGATACATACTTTTGCATCCCGGTTTGGTGGTGATTCAACAACCAATAGTAATTCTGGCATTTCACGATTTTTGCCTACTTTATCTATCCAATACCTACTTATATTGCTAATAGTATTCGTGACGGCCGTGCTTGATGTCGCAACGTCTTGCAGGTTTGATACACCGGTATCTATGCTTCGGCTGTTAGACATTCGTAAATTCAATAATGTATTTGTATTGAATGAGGGAGTGCTTGTACTGTGGCTAAGGCCCATCCGACTTCTTCTCATATTGTTCCGGTTTTTCATGTTGTTCTTTGCTAAAGCAATGTTCCACCAAACTAATTCATCGTTTGTCAATGACAATAAAATCGGGACATTTATAGCAGCTGGAGCCCAATACAACTGTGTGATGGGATTAGTATGAAAAGATAATTGGCAATAAATCTCCGACGGATTCTGTATATCGATAATCTGAAAACGAAAAGCAAACGATGTTGCATTAATATTATACGTATAATGCACAAATTAATGGATCATAAAATAAACTTACAGAAATTTGTCCCGATTCAAAGCCAACAGCGACATATTGTTCATTTTTTGAAATATCACAACAAGTCACTTTTTGGGCGAAACAATGCGTAAAACAGGGCTGTTCTCCAATTTTTATTTGCGCCGACGATGTATTCAACGCGTCTGTTAGGAATTCGTGGATAATATAAAATAATGTTAATTGTGAATCACTCAAAATGGCCAAGTAATTTTTACAATGGCTTAAACAGCTGAACGAAATACATGAAGACGGAGGCAGAGCTACTTCGCTTATTAAGCCCCAAGGTATACTAATATACCATAATGCTATTACGCCTTTCTGTGTTACTGTTACGACATAGTTGTCGTCTATCTTGTGAATATCGTTGATGGGTTCCGCTTTAGTGTCAATTCCAAATATCGGTCTATTACGTTGCCATATCTGTTTACATGTTCAAAACATTTAAATTTGTTTAGCATGTACAAGTTTAGATCAATAATTTTCGGAGTGTCGAATAACTCAGTGGTAAAACAACTATTTATCAAATGAAAGATTACAATTTGATTGCTTTCCGAAACACTCCACATAAGAAATTTACGATAAAAAATATTGTTCTACTATATAAAAAAATCAGATATTCCATAATAACTGGAATAAATTGTAATCTAGGTTTTATAATTCTAAGTTAAAATTAAAAAGAAAAATATATACACATGTATACATATTAAAAATATATATATAATGTGTACATATATAACAGCAGAAAGAACAGAAAATAAAATTATGATACTTAGGTAAGAAATTTAATATACCTTCAAATTATTGTCCTTCCATCTGCATAATACTGTGGTATAGTTACGTAGATTCATGATTTTTACAAATTGAATTGGCTTTTCTAATGTTAAGATATGATCAACGCTTCCGGTGATTATGTCCAATAGTTGAATGTTATTATTGTTTGTGACATAAACTGCCTGTTTTCCATCGGCGGACAATTGTAAGCTTGATAATCTCCCTCCTACAAATTCATGTTCTTCTACTGTGTCTTCTCCACATGACACTATGAGTTTGTCTGAAGGGCTCTCTTTCACTACAATGTCCTTCTGGTCACAAGATTCAACAATTGCGTCAAATACACATTTCCTAGTTTAACAGTAAAAGGTTGTCATGGTCTAATTTAAAATAAAGTTTAAAATATAGATATATAAAGTAAATAATCTAATGTTAAATTACCTTGGTAAATCATTTGATTCTTGTACGGGGAATTTCCATTTGTATAATACGCTGTTTCCGTTTCCACAAATCTGGAAAAATTTTTCTTAATTTTAAAGATAATTTTGAATTTGATTAAATATAATGGAATTGGTAGAAGAGTAATACATACAATATGATAGCCTTCGTCACTTAACCAGTAAGAATCCAAAGATGTAACACGACTTTTGTAAGTCGCAATCGGTTGATATCCAGAATAGGTGTTCCATACATTTATAAAACCCGCAGAATCAGCCATTATTATGTATTTACCATCATGTGTAATAGTTGCGCATACATAAGTTACCGTATCATTATCGACAAACCCTCTCGGCTGTTTGGCAAAGTTACGCACGCAACCATGTCCCCACCACCATTTTACGTGCACAGCTTCTTTTTGGGTAACGACAATCAACGAATCCTTATGGTTGGGTATATGATGAAAGAAGATGACTTCTTTAGCTGCAGATTTCAACTGCAGATTATAACAGGCAATATATTGATAGGTGGTATTGGTGGTATTGTCATTGCCACAGTTTGAATACAACACAATAGCACCGTTTAATTGATCCATTATATGTAGTAAGGAACCATTCGCCGTAAAAGCTATTTTCGATATGCAATGACTGTAACAAACGCACCCATTGTTCATATGCACGTTATCTCTATACCAATTGCATATATTGCATATAACTGTACTTACTGTGTGGAATCTCTTACAGTAAACACCACTTCGCCATCTCGGTCCCATAGCTTAAAAAAGAGAAAAATATATGAATTACATTTGAATGATACATTATACATTATATTCAAATCTTCTAATAACATGGAAGAAACATGTATAAGAAAGCACCTGGTTTCATAAAAATTAAAATACCTGAATCGTTGCTTTGTCAGTGCATGCAGCAATGTATTTATCCTCATGGCCAAATGCCATATCTAGTATTTTCTCATTTTCTACGCAGAATTCCAATAAGCTGTCATCTTGACCATCCAAATTTGCAAAAAAGCCGGACCATGAGTTCTGTCTTTGTCGTGGGCTATCCAAGTTTATAGAATAATCAATATCACTCTTCTCATTGAATAGAGGGAATAACTTGATTATACCAGCATCGCTTAACGATATGAAACAATCACCAGCCGTAGACACAAGAACTTTCTTGATACAAAATCCTTTTCGATGACCGTTAAAGATTTTTTGTTGCTTGCTTTCGAAATCCCACAGAATTATTTTACCCGACGTATTCCCAGTCAAGATCAATTCGGGATAATCTGTGAAAGATGACGTGCAAATGTCCGCTGACATTTCTTCAATCACTGGCTTATTAAAATATTGGAAGCTTTTCTTGTGAGATAAGTACAAGTATTCTGGTTTTGTCATAGCCAGATATTTCGCAGTCTGAGAGATATAGCCTTCATAAGGATGATCCATCGCAATTTGAATGATATCTAAGCACTTCTTGCGTTTATGTTCTACTATAATGCTTGCTTGCATTTGAAGAAAACTTTCTATATCAGAGACCTTTTCCATACAGTCCTCTTTGTCATACGTAATGTGTATTCTATATTTTTTCAGATCTAACAATAGATCATTCACACTCGCATGTATTAATTTAGCTTGAATGAAATCAAAATTTGTATAAAGAGGTTGAAATTCTTTAAACAAGTTTGCTTGGTCCAAATGGTAGCCAATATACGAGTAAATATAATTATCGTTTGGCAATTTTGAGAAATCATTGTTGCAATATGTACGGTAGTTTTTAACAATTGTCTCGTGCATCTGCATCAATTCGCTATCCGTTCGTTTCTTCCTGAGATGGCATAACAGTAAATCATGCACACCGTAAATGTAGGTTTTTAAGTCATTGTTCCACTTTTTGGCTGCAAGTGATTTATGGCACAGATCCAACATCAGTTCTTCAACTTGAAATATGTCTCGTTGCCAAAAAATCTCTAGAGTCTGAAACATTAAATTGATATAAAATTAAAGATACGTGTGAGAGTTTATGCATCAATTTAGTAACAAATTTTGTAATGTATACCTTCGGAGTTATGTTAACATCTTCACAAAAAATAGCTAAGCTCTCGTAATATTTTTTCAAATCTGGTTTTAGTTGCTCAATACATATATCAAAAATAGTTTCTTGCTTCTCTAGAAATTCTCTCATTACTCTGTAACACACGATACAATAACAGCGACATAATTTTATTAATCAATACATTATTTTAAAAAATTATGTATTACTCACTTGGTTGTTGCATCCTTTTTCCTCAAAGATTTCAAGTAATATTTCCATCTTTTAGAATGTGTTTGCATATCCATTTTAAATTCTTCAAATTGCGCAGCAAACATGGCTATGAGTAATGGCATGCCTTTACATTCTTCATGTATTTGTTTTGCTTCTATAGGCAGTTTGTTTACATCCATTTCCAATACTTTGGCAAATAAGCCTAGCGTTTCTGCTTCTGTAAATCCGTCGTTCATCTGAAAGTGACACATTATTTTTCTGTTACAGTATAATAAATATTTATTTCAATATATAATAATTACAAATGTAATAAAGAATATTACCTGTATTATCTTAGATCTTTTCCTCTCTAGAACGTCAATGTCAGCAGTAAGAACTAGAGTTTTACACTTGAAATCAAAAGTCTTAATAATCTTTTTATCATAAACATCGTCTAAGATCAATAAGGCGTTGCAATTATCTTGTTTATTGAAGTACAGTTCCAAATATTGAATCAGATCATCCAGTTTCAATGGAGTAAACAATTCTGGTACGATTTCTAAATTTCTCACGTTATGATAGAGTGTGTTTAATTGAATTAATATTTCTTCATCGATTAAACGGTTGGATGAAAATTTAATCCAGTAGACCTGATTCTAAAACAAAAAAATTTGTTTTGTGCAAAATATAATATATTAATATCACATGTGTCTAATATAAATAATAAAAATATATCATACAGAAAATAAATCTTTCACTAATTTTACATCCTTGAGAGTACTGGCAACTAGACATGATTTTCCAAATCCTTTCATGCCATGCAACGCAATGTATTCTCTGGAAGTTAACTGTTGTAAAGCTGTCCTTAACTGCTCAACCTGCAAACGCAATGTATCATATACTAAACAGTCTTCATTTTATGTATCAAAATCATTTATTACGATACAATACAGTGGCACATTTTGACACTTAAAGATTGCTAAGTACGATTTGAGGATTTCTAATATCGAGGCTCTAAGTGTTTAGATTAGATTAGATTAGATTAGACATTTAGTATGTCTAATAGAAAATTCGCCACTAGTGCATTACATGCAAAAATGTATTATGAAAATCACTGAAAGTCTTGAACTTACGCAATATATGTTTCCATACGTATGCATAAAGAGCAACAGTTAAACTAAATAAGAATTAAATTGTTCATTACAACAAATTACATCTAAGTACACAGGATTAAAATAAGTTATTGGATATTTTTAAGAATAAAAGCTGATTTTGTGGTCAGTTAGAAAAATATTATTAAGGATTATATCAAATTTATATAGCAATAGCACGATGCGTTTATATCATGGAATAAAAGTACGCATTGAAGAAGTAAATGAATTATCATATAATCAATACTTTATAGTTCATAATTTTATCTTATCATTCGATCGATAAGTCGACAATAAGGTCAGATTAAGTCTGTCATGATTTAGATAAATTCAGAATGATTCATACGTGTATATCTTAACAATGTGTATATATATGAGCGTATATTACAATAGTTATACCTTCTCTTCTCTGGTAACCGTCAATGGTGAAAGGGGTGGAATGTTAGGAGGCCCAGCGTAATAATCTATCTCTCCATTGGCTTCTATTTCATAATTGCCTAACAATTTATCTATTTCATCGCTAAGCCATTCATAGTGATGTTTTAACGACAGATGAAAGACATCGAAAGCGCTTGGGCCACATCTTAAAAATGTTAACACAAAAACACTTAATGAAATCAGTTTGCCGTGAAAGCTGCATCGTTAACTAATTGCAAGAATGACGACCAGCGAGATGTAATTGCTACTATTATTAGTAAGTGCGACAACGTTAAAATAAAAAAAAAGTGCGCAATGTTGCACAATATGTGTGCGAATATAACAACAAATACACATTAATATACATACAGTGGTAGTAGATCTAACAAATAGATCGCTCTCTCTTCTTTAGTAGCTCCGGTGTAAATATGTTTTACATCCTCTTCTCTTAGGATGTATTCATTTCTTAAGGTTTGTATAACGTCATTATCTACATCCAAATCATCAATTATATTGCCCCTCAAACGAATGAGGATTTCTCTATGTGATCTCTCCATTTTTTTTAATCAAAATGCACAATGCGAAATCTCGTAATTAGGAGTTACTACAAGCTTCACTGCAGTTCTGAAATAAATAATTATTTATTAATTTATATATAATAACAAACTCCAGGCAATTTTACTACTTAGGACTAACGCGATACTATTTTTTCTACTGGATTGCTTACGAGAACCAATCAGGATTTGGCTTCAAGTCGTTTGATCTAAAACTCTGCATCCTGATTGGCTCTCGTAAGCAATCTAGTAGGAAAAATAGTATCGTGTGCCGTTGGCTTAAGCAGAAACCATGCAATTACTCGTAACTACAATGCTGCAATTTAATTTTTCAGAATTAAAAAGTCAGCATTGCTAAACTAAAGCTTTCTAACTTTTTCGAACACAAGAACAAGAATAATCGTTTTTCATAGTGAACTGATTACGATTTCGTTTGCCATATCGCTCTATCACCGTACAATTTCGAGAGATTTGCATCACAAAAGAAATTGCAAAAAGGATATTTCAATGCATTTTGGTATATTAAAACTACGATATGTAACGTATTGGACAACTTTTATCGCATTAGGACTTTCTACGCCCAACAATAAAAAGAATTTGTTGCATCGATTACGGTTAAAAGATATTGATAATTGCTCAACTAATTCGTATATTTTGTTGCATCAAAGTTACATGAAATATTTTTTAATTGTGTTATTCAAACTCAGAAGTGTTTCAAGTCACCCAATACTAACCTGCTGTCAAAGCTGATAAATTAAAAATAAATTATAGTAATAAATATTGATGGTTAAAATCTGTTGCGTCGAAGTTGCGACTTACTTCAAAATGGCGATCGCGCTCAAAATGGAGAACGTCTGCGAATACAAAATGGAGAACGTCTGAGAATACAAAATGGTCAAGCTTTTCTTATTATTTATATATATTTATATATCTATATGTAATATTAAATCATATATAATAACATTAGCGCTTTTGATATTCGCCATATTTTTTAAATTATAATCGACACAACAAATCGACACAACAAATTCCTTTTAAGAGCTGAAAGTCCTAACAATGCACTTAATTCTTATCGCGATAAAACTTCTCCAATACGTCACGTGTCGTTATAATATTCCCAAGTCTTCAAATAACCTGTTTTGCAACTTTCTCAAAATTGTGACGTGAGAGAAATTTGGAAAACGGGGTCGTACTCGACGTTCCAAAAATACCACGAAAACAACTAGTCTCGTTCGTGTACATTGTTTCGTTAAACAGTTATCTTGATTTGCGAGAAAACGCATTACTACCTCGCCTGCCGCGAAGGAACAATTTTCATGCGTACATAATATCTTTAATTCCAGATACCATAAATTTCTGTCTTTATATGTTTCTCTCTATACTGACACGTGTCTTTCGGGAATATACCGGAAGGAAGTCTCCGAATCGTCGAAAAATGTTACCGATTATCTGTTCGCTTTCAAGTGCGATAAAGAATAAAAGAACCCGTCGTTCAACGGCGTATTTACCTTCTCGAGCTTCTGTGTCTTGCGTCATACACTTTCTACTATAAAAAAAAGGGTACTCGCATATTTTATTGGTAATTTCCTCCAACTTGAATTACTTCAAACTCTTGTATCTCGAGTCGAGCGTTACGTTTCTTTTATTTACGTAAATATTAACGAACGCCACTGGAACGAATTCGACGACGTGTCGCGGCAGCGTGGGTAAAAGCTGAAAGGATTAACACGTTGATAATTTTCCGCGTTCTGGCTTCCTTGTCGCCTTTACCGCGGTCACATTTTGTAAGGCGCAAGGTAAAAATAGCGATGAGAAGGATACCGGAGGAGAGAGACGCTCGAAAAGATCCACGTCGCGACTATCCTAATTAACCTTGCGATTGCCGCGGCTGCGTTGAAGTCAACGATCTCGAAAACCTGCCGAAGACTCGATCAACGATGGAGGGATACATAACGCATTTTTGACTTTGTGGTGGGAAACGCGCGCGCGCGATAGAGAGAGAGAGGGGGGGGAGGGAGAGAGGAGGGGGGAGGGGAGGGGAGAGAATTCTGTCCCCCAGGAATGCTCCACGCGTACATCGCACTCTTGGAAGTAAATATAAAATCTAACACGCTCCTATTTTCCTCCCTTTAATTCCAGCGTTATTTTTGCATGCAGTATTGTCCCGTTGGACCGCGGAGCGCACCGCACCTCTCCTCTTACCTTTTTTTTCTTCTTTTTTCTCACGTGTCTCCTTCCAGGCGCCCTGTCGCCATTTTAACACCCCCGGCCAATGGTGTTCTTCATCTTCTTTAGAAAACGATGTCCGCGTCCACCTCCTTCTTCCTGACCATCCTCAATCGAAAAACAAGAAGGCTGCTGCTCCGCTGCATTCGCGGCCGAGACGCTCGCCCGCGCCCGTTGTCTTCTCGGCCGCAATGACCGATCTTTTGTGCAACGAACGCGCTCTTTGTTCGAAAAATCGGAGTAATCTTCCTGCTTTGACACCACCTCCACACCGCACAGTTGACAAGCGACTGGTGGAGGAACAGGTACTCGCGTGCCCAAGTTAGTTTAGCCGCTGCGCTCAGTGATGTTAACTGTGCCGCTGTCTGGCGCATGCGTTCAAGTACAGCAGCAATGTATCAAAACAGGATGTATACAGGTCCTGCAGAAACCCTACTTTGATGCTTCTATAAAAATTATATAAAAATTTTTTTAATTGTGAATAAAAAGATGTAAAACATGTAAAAAGATGTAAATCATGAGAAACTACG